GAGAGAGAGAGAGAGAGAGAGAGAGAGAGAGAGAGAGAGAGAGAGAGAGAGAGAGAGAGAGAGAGAGGTATTTGACGTCAAAGGAAGGCTGCTAGGGATGAAAGAGTCCGACCATGCATTGTGAGGAGGTAATGAGGGAAGGAGAGTGGGAGAGAGAGAGAGAGCCAATCGGGCAAGAAGTGGCACACCTTGAAAGGTGCAGAGAAGCAGACGGGACAGCACGGAACATCGTCGGAGAGGAACAGAACAAGCAGCTCTAGTTCTACTAGCAGGATGATTTGCAGGGGGGGGCTAAGGGTGTCAATTTCGGAAGAGGCTTTTATTGGGGGGCATTTTTTTACGTTTAGGGGGGTCATTTTATGAGGGGTTATGGACCTGATGTCTCAGATGAGCAGCGGAATGATATGTGACGGCTTCAAACAACTGGCAGCAACCTGGAGGGAAAAAGCAATACATTGAATCTGGACAGCGGTTTCTGAGCATTGCATTGCAATGCCTTGACCTAAGGTGTACATCAGACCTTAGCAGCATTGTTTTTTTTTCTTACTTGTTTACATAATTTAATCAGCCTAATAATGACATGGATGCGACTGAGCGGCCTGCAGTTGTGATTGACAATGGCACAGGGTACGTAACCACCCACCTTTTTGACAGCTCCCTCCCTTTCAATTATTTTTTTCTCTTCCTTTTATTGCGTCGGGATTCCAACTTGGGTCTGTATTTCAACCTAATAGTCATGGGTGTGCCACCTGAGCTAGGGCCTCACTCAAATTTAAATCAAATTTAAGTCAAATTTAAATCAAATTTAAATCAATTTCAAATCAATTTCGAATCAATTTTAAATCAAATTCAATCAAATAAATCAACTCAACTGATGAGCAACCCCGGGGTCGTCTTATATGTTCTTATTATAGGCATGCCTCTGCCTATATTAGATCTCTCTACCTAGGTACTGCACCCTTTGGCTATATATACTCTGTGTGTGTGTGTGTGTGTGTGTGTGTGTGTGTGGAGTCTGTGGACATGCCTCTGCTTGGTTTCAACGATGCCTCCGGTTATCAGATGAACTTGGAATGATACAGAGAGAGAAGATTGGCATGAAATCGATAAATGGTCTAGGATTTTAAGAAGAACAGGACAATTGCAAAAAAAAGCGTTGCCTGTAGTTGGATTGCTGTCAAAAGATGAAAATTGCAGAGGTTATTTATGACTGATGCTGAGGTGGCTTGAGGGGGTTAACGATAGGGGGAGAATCTTATATGTATCGTCTCTATCGTTCAGCCCCTTTCTGTCTACAGATAACTTCCTCGTGAAACGTAGGCACAAAGGGGGAAAAGGACATGAAACGGGGGCCTGTGACAGACTCTATGGATGCACATTTACGCGCTTCCCTCACTGCAATTCTCCCATTGATTGATGGTTAAGAGGATGGATGGAGCAGTAGGTGATTGCTATCTCCTTTGGAAAATGGTCTGCAGCAGTGTGTGTGTGTGTGTGTGTGTGTGTGTGTGTGCTGTCTCTTATACACATCTAGATGTGTATAAGAGACAGTCTTGTGACAATATATACTAGCAGTCTGTAGAGT